CAGTCAATAGTGAAGAAATGCCCTAAATTAGGAGCAAATGTGTGCGCAAATAGGGGCGGAAGCGGGAACATTTGCCATGTAAATTCTGAGCCCTTAGGGCAGACCTGCACAACATACGGCCCACATGTGACCCGCGGGGGCTCACTGTGTGGCCCGCGGCCCGTGGGGGGTGAGTAGGCAAGCGGCAGGGTGGGGCAAGCCAATGGTCGGCCGGCTGGGAAGTAAGGGTGAGCCAGCGGCAGGGGGTAGGGGCAGCGGCAGAAGGTAAGAGGCCAGCGGTGGGCAAGTGAGCTGGCGGCGGGGGGAGGGGGGCTGAGGAGGCGAGTGGGCGGTGAGTAGGCAAGCTGTGCGGGGGCAGGGGGGAAATGAGGTGGTGATGGTGAGAGGGCAGGCAGTGGCACGGGGGCAGGTGAGCCGGCAGCGAGGGAGGGGGGCTGAGGAGGCAATCGGGTGGGCAGTGGTGGTGGTGGGGTTATACTTGGGTGGGGGGGTGAGGAGGCAAGCGGCGAGTCGTGACTGACCTGTTCTATTGATCTTGTCTCATAAAAATTGGCCCTTTTTGCTGCTTTTCTCTGGGCTGGGGGTTGTCCCAATGCTGCAAAGAGGGTGTTCCCAAAGGAAGGTGCTTGCTTCTAACTGCTCTTCTCTAATCATCCCACCCGACAAGTTTGATTGTCCTTGGTCTGGCTCCCATCCCCTCTCCAAGGGTTGCAGCTGTCTGGAGGTGCCTGCCTTCCACGCCTTCCTCATTCATTCAACAGGGCAATTGATTACAAAGTTGGGGGGAAGATCTTATTCTACTTCTAGCAAAAAGACATTTTTATTTTACCTTAATTATACTACCTTAGGGGCCCGCTAAAACATATTACCAAGGTTCAATACAAAGTCATATAAAAGATCAAATGTTTTCTTTCAACGGAACAAGTGTTTTTCATTTTTCCATTATTCATAAAAAAAAAATTAAAATAATTTAAAAAATTGTTCGCTTTAATTGAAAAATTCTTAATAAAGTATCACCCCCTCCCCCAACCTTCCTTTTCGGCGGGGCAGCACTGGAGAAGGAGGG